TAGGATTCTCAATCTTCTTTCTACAGAGCAATGTTTTTTCAAATGAAATCTCACACCATGCCCTAAATGCGTAACAGAGCTGCTGAGTGGACGTCAGCTCGGGCCGGGAGGCTGGCCTGCTCATGTGTCCCCAGGAACCCTGCATAGGCCCCCTCAGACACCAGCTCCTGTTGAAAAAATGACTGTCTCCTTCCCCTTCCCTCCCTTGAAGGGGCTTCAGAAAAGTGGAGGGTGAGGCTGGAGGGCTGCAGTTGGTCCTCCAGGAAGAGGGCCCATCGCAGGCCCCGGGTCTTCTGAGAGGTGCTTTGTTGTGGTTGTCGTTAGCTGCCATTGAGTTGGCCTTGACGCATGGAGATCCCATGCAGAATGGAATGAAGCACTGCCTGCCTGTGCCATCCCTATTCTCAGCTGTAGATCGAACTGTTGTGATCCATAAGATTTTCACTGGTTGATTTTTGGAAGTAGATTGCCAGGTGTTTCTTTCCAGTCTGGAATCTCCACTGAAACCTGTCCAGCATCATAGCAACACACAAGCCTCCACTGACAGATTGGTGGTGGCTGCACATGAGGTGAATTGGCCAGAAATTGAACTTGGGTCTCTCACATGGAAGGCAAGAATTCTCCCACTGAACCACCACTGCCTCACCACACACCTAACAGAAGGATTAAATCCACAAAACTGACAGCATCAATGGCTAGTGAGGATGTGGAGCAACAGGAACTCTCATACCGTGCTAGTGGGAATGCAAAATGGCACAGCCACTTTGGAAAACAACTTGGCAGTTTCTTACAAAGCTAATCACAGTCTTAACCATACAATCTAGCAATTGTGCTCCTAGGTATTTAGTCAACTGATTGAAAACTTATGTCCACACAAAAGCCCCCACATGAATGTTTATAGCAGCTTTATTCATAATCGCCCAAAACTGGAAGCAACCAAGATGTCCTTCAATAAGTGAATGGATAAATAAACTGTGGTACATCCAATGGAATATTATTCAGCAATAAAAAAGAATGAACTATCAAACCACAAAAAGGACATGGATGAATCTTAAATACTGCTAAGTTTAAGAAG